GACTTTATTTCGATTAAAGAAAATCCCGTTAATATGACGTGAGAATGGAAATATTGATGTTTAAGGCCACAGATTCCACAGGACTAAATGAGGAAAAAGAAGTCATCATGACAAGTGTTTTTATGTAATAGACAAAGTTTACATTTTTGTGTGCACTGTAGAATAACTGCAGAAACTCTACCGTACATAACACAGAACAATCATCCGGGGAATCTCTTCACATCAAACAGCTATAAGTTTATTGTGGAAAAGTGGTGGAAAGTGAGGGAGAAGTATAACAAAAGAAAATTGTATTCAAACGTAATGTCTAAAGAAAAGTTGAACTTCATGTAAAAGGAACCTTCACATAAATTCCGAATTTCTCTTAGTTTTCTTACATATTTGCTCCAATTTTCCTCAGCTTATTTCGTGCTTCTATATTTATTTTTGCGAAATTTCGTTTCTGTGTGTTTCCTTGTGGAGTTTCTTTTCTTTTTATTGCTAGTGGAGTGGGACTAAGTTCCTTGTACTGCGGCAACTTCTGGCCTATTGTACCAGCCCCAGATGATAGGTGAGGGTGAATGTGGAGCAATTGGTGGAATGAAGATTGGCAGGGGAAACCGAAGTACTCGAGAAAAACTACACCAGCGCCACTTTTTCCACCACAAATCCCACTTGACCAGACCCGGGATCGAACCTGGGCCGCCATGCAAGGAAGCCAGCGACTAACCGCTTGAGCTATGGTGCGGCCCTCCTTGTGGAGTTGGTCTGATATCTGTCACTGTCTCAGCAATTTCGTGTACACCTCTATCTGAACAGAGTAATAATTTTCACAGGCAAATTAGTGGATATGCAAAAATCTGAAAAATTTTCATATTTAACACTGTATTACGATTCGAAACTTAAGTTAGTAAAACAAATTTAATAATATGTAAATCAAAAAAGTATCATTGAATAAATTCACTCCGGTTCCCATTCTCAAAGCTTTGAATATTGTGAAATGTGAAACGTTTACACTTTGCTTCTTTCAGGAGAAGTCACAACCAACGCCGTGTGCGTGTGGCATCTCTCCTCTATCTTAAGTTGTATGAATAGCACAGTAACCTAGAAACGGACTCTAACTGCAGTGTGTGTTCGTGGGCATATGACGCGTGTGGTCCTGTACGATAAGCAGACCCTATTAAAGTATGCAAGGTACAGCGAGTGACAGCAGGAAGGTGAGTGGATGACCGAATGAATATGTAAGTTTGTGTGGGAATGGAAAAGAGAATTACTGAGTGACCAATGCGATACATGAGTGGTTGTGTGGGTAGGTAAGTAAGTGAAGACGTCACTGAACGTGTGACTAAAGGAAGTGATGCATGGTTGAGTGGGTGGGTGAAGAAGTAAGCTAGTGTTAGTAAGTGTGGGCTAACCTAATGGACGTGTGGATGTTTCAGTGAGTGAATAGATGAGTAACAATGCGAATGGCTAACGGGTGAGTCGGTTTGTAAGTGTGTGGGTGAATGAGTGAGCACAGTATCTACATGATGTGCAGATTAAAGCAAACGAAACAAAGCTGAATATAACATAACAAAATTTTTATGAAGAAGCCAATTGTTCATATTTTTCTGTAGAATTCGTCGCGGTAATCACGAATTCAAAATCCTAGTCAAAACTAACACACCTTATCCTCGACTTATAATGAGACAATATTCCTTACGCCTGATCATAAGACTGGCCGTTCTTAAGTCGAAAGTTATTTTGCCACTCAATAAATAATATGATTTTCAGTAGCCAAGAACCCAAGCTTACGAGCAAAGCCCACGTAACCTATATTGTGTTGTACGTACTTTAAATTATAAATGACTATTAAAGAGCACAATACACATCCACAGACAAACACGTATGGAAAACTGAATGAGAATAAAAACAAGCAATACATGCAGTTCGTATAAACGTATGTTCGTTAAGTGAAGATTTCGTGTGAAAAGGACCTAGTGCCAGATTTTAAATTACATCTCAGTATCTAAAATATGGTACATTTCTTAAATAAGTGACAGAAAATATAGTCAAAATGAGCCAATAATAAACGTCATATGAGTCTAGAAGATCTATCCTTGGTTTGTAGATACTCGATCTTTATTTGATGCTACAACCTGTTTGTCTGTCTGTCTCTCTGTCTACGTGTCTATCTGTCTATCCGCCTACCTACCTACCTATCTATCTATCTATGGCTCTGCAGTCCTGTTGTTGGACCTTTGCAGATTTTCACTTCCTTAATTCTATATACAGTCGGTAGGACTCCTTGGACGGGGGATCAGTCTGTCACAAGGCCGCTACCTACACACAGAAAAACAGAAACACAGAATAAACCCTCAGAGAGTGGTAATCGAAAACACGATCCTAGCGTTCGAGCAAGCGAAGACAGTTCGTGCCTTTTTTTTTAAATTCGCATAGGGGGGGGGGGTGGAGTCCAGTTGGGTCCACTCGGCACGGCGGCCACTGATCGGCCTATTGTAGCCTGCCCCGGGTGATTATGATGATGGAGAATTTGGGGGAATGAAGATTGGCAGGGGAAACCGAAGTACTCGGAGAAAACCTGCCACAGCGCTACTTTGTCCACCACAAATCCCACTTGACCACGCCCGGGTTTCAACCCCGGCCGCCGCGGTGGGAAGCCAGGGACTAACCGCTTGAGCTATGGAGAGGCCCCAGTTCATGCCTTAGACCGCGAGGCCACTGTGATCGGCTTGTTTGATACTACACCCAACTTAAATACAGAACCTCCAAAGCAAGGGAGCTGATCATTACAAGGCGACATTGGTTTTGGCGGTACTTACTAATTAGCAACTTGCTGATTAACGATGTTCTAATAGTATGACATATGAGAGTGCCCGTGAGCTTACTTACGAGTTGTCACGGTGAGTTTTAGGGCAATGTTCAGGAATTCATAACTAAGGTTTTTATTCCTTTCCTCCGTCCCTACATGCAAACATTGGGATCTTAACTTCATTAAGCAAAGACCGTTTTCTTCCAAATCCTTTACCCTTCACATCCATCAACCATCTTACCATTCGCCGCTGAGATGAACATAAAGTAACCAACCTCCCTTTCCTCTAGCATAAGAAACAATAATCATAGCTTTGACGCTAAAGTGGATGTAAATTACTCTTGCTCTCAGACGGCAGAACTTGTCACACAATCGTGACTCATAGTTTCGTCTCCATAATTCTGAATCCTTCTTATGTGAAACCCTTCTAAACTTTGTGAGTACGACAGAAGATCACAAGAACATTACAAGTTGATAAGGTTTCTCCATGGTAACGACCTCGAAGCCTGAGGTGAAGGGTGGAGTTTAATTGTGAAATACATTGTAATAAGGAAGTTGATTTGATGTTATAATAACCCACTTGCGTGCATTACTTTTTTTTTTCTGGTACAGCACCTTGAGCCGTAAAGCAAAATCAATACGACCTCTGACAGTGATGTATGCAGCACACTCCGCGTCCCTTAGTTACGCGATAATACACGCCGCGACGTAATGAAATAATACGGAAGCTGGCAAATAAGTTCACAGATGCTGACGGAGGCTATTAAGGTAGGAAAATACTTTCATGCAAAACATGTAAAAGAAGACGGAATAACTGCAGGAGGAAAATCGAACGGAAATACTTGTAAAGGAACAGTATAAAAGCATAAATTCTGGGGTAAACCTACCCAGTTTTGCAAGGTACCTTGTTATGTTGTATGACGACCTAAATTTTCCACGAAATTTATATGAGTTTTATGTTTGTTTTAACAGTTACCCATAGATATTTGTTACGAATTGGGTATAAAAAGGTACAGGTATCGCTGTAACAGGAGGCCCATAAGATTGTGACATGTCGAAGCTTCCACATTTTCTAGACAATCGGCTCTTACATGGCGGTGAGGTTGTCAACCTCACGCGCCGGTCGCCCTTTACCCCCAGTAAGATTCCTTGAACTCATTTCTGTTAGAGGATGGGTCATCCCTAGGGCCATAGTACTGCTGGAAGATTTAGGTCAAACGAAAAATCCAGTAACCTCATTAGGAATCGAACCAGCGACCTTCCGGATTGTAGCATAGTGTCTGAACAAATTACGCTACCGTGTGCACTCATAAATAAAGTATTTTGGTAATTAAATAAGAAAAGAATTGGTTGGCCTAAATGTACCCTTATCGAGCGTTAAAAATTATCTGTAAGAGCGTTTCTCGAGAGAGGTAAGCCAAAATACTGTCATTCTGAATTCCTAAAATTTGCTTCAACTTATCACACAGCAGTTATGTTTCCTTTTATATCTGATGACAGTACGACAGTCTGTTATAGTTAGTGGCGAAGCAAGATACGTATCTCAAAATGGGGCGTGATTTGAATATTTTAACAGTTTATATTCAGCAAACCAAAATCCGGTTAATAAATTACCACACTGAGCACACATTCTTTCTAATTATTCACAGGCATTAGAATATGGGTTACCCGCATTTCTGTTCGCAATAAATCAATACAGATTCTGCTACACATAATACCGAAGTCAACTATTACAATTTGTTGTGTAAGGTAAAAGGTAAAAAGGTAAAGTTGTCCTTGTGCTCAAAGAATTAAGCACTACGCTATGAAGGCGTATGGGGGAATGGATGTAGAGTTCCACATTTTCTTGACCTCGGCACTAGCTGGAGGTGAGTGGTCAGCTTCAGGCCCTAGCCGCTTTACTCCCGGGGAAAGAGCCCACGGTACCCATTGGATAGGAGGTTGGGAGGACCCCAGACCCGGCCTGAACGACGTGGAGAAGAGAAAATTCTTGACCCTACTCAGAAGTCCAGCCAGTAGCCAGTCGCTATACCACTACGCTACCCTACGCTACAATTTGTTGTGTTTCAATTATTAATGGCTCTCCAACCTCGTTACACACACACAAGTTCTTCCGTCTTCCTCCAGCAACCTAACTTATCTACCTCCGAGCTGGGATAGACGGGCCAGCTAATTTCCTAGGCGCAATTCATCAGGTCCGAATACTCACCTCCCGTGACCTCACACACGAGGTACACGTCGCTCCCCTCGTTGTACCTCTCCAGGAGCTTTCTTCTATCCCTTCTCTTGTCGTCATAAATCACCGGACGCTCGGGAGGAACTGGAACACAGTAAGTAACAACTCAGTAACACTCCAAAGCTACTAAGCAACTCTGAACATTGAGATATCAATTTGCGTACACGGGTAATATATAATTTAAACACACAAGCTCTATCTGTGCCTTCCGTCACGAGAAATGCCATCGAATAATTTGCACCATATTTATTTTTCCTGAAGAAGGAATCCTGTGCATTCATAATATCAGCGGGCTTTCTTTTCTCTCCTCCTGCTTAATAAGCTTCAAAGAGTTACGAACTTCAGGAAATCCAGGGTAACATTTGTAAGGGTAGAATAATTTAATAATTTACTGAAAAACGGTAAACTTGTCCCTGTACATATCTAATTAACCACTAGGACATGAAAGGGGAGAATGGATGCATAGATTCACATATTCTTGAACTCGGCACTAGTTGGTGACTATTCGGCTTCACGCCCCGACCACCTTGACCCCTGTACTCACTGGATAGGAAGTTGTGTGGGCCCAGGAACCGGTCTGAATGAAGTGGAGAGCAGAAAAATCTTGCTCCTACCGAGATTTGAACTCCGACCCCTTGACCGTTCAGCCCGTAGCCGGTCGCTATACCGGCCGCCACATCCCAGCTGTAGGCGTATAAGTAAGTCACGTGTTCAGAGAATTGAAATGTGTGAAGTCAAACGTCTTGCCTCTGAATGTCTGGTTTTGGCACTGTATATACTCTTAAAACAGCAAAGATAGGTTCATTTCTTTCTTGCATGTTTCATCTAAAACTAAAAACAGCAAATTGCTGATAATGATACTTTTTTCCGGCCAAGTTATTCTGGTTTCATGAGTGCAGGTCATAAGTCATTATATCCTTTGCAGTCAGACATGGGTAAAGGTAAAACGTAAAGTTTCCTTGTGTTTAACTAATTAAGCACTATGCTGTGAAAGCGTATGGGGGAGTGGATGTATAGACCCACGTTTTCTTGACCTCGGCACTAGTTGGAGATAACTGGTCAGCTTCACGCCCAGGCCGCATTACAACCGCGGAAAAGCCCCCGGTACCCATTGGATAGGAGGTTGGGTGAGCCTGAGAGCCGCTCTGGACGTCATGGAGAAGTGAAAACTCTTTCCCCATCGGGACTCGAACTCCGGCCCCTTGGTAGTCCAGCCCGTAGCTAGTCCCTTCGCTATCCCGGCTCACTGACATGGGAAATTACGCAAATTAATACTTGTAATGTGAACGGAGAAGTTCATGGAGGTAGGCATACGCCCACTGGGGCTGTAGTGCCAAGGAAAAAAATTACTTGTAATAACGGAATGCGTGGCGATTTTTATTAAACTGAATTTCTGTAACCTAGGAACAGAATTCCGTGAGAGCGCATTCATATGAACTCTGAATGTTTTGGAAACAGAACTGCACTTTCCGAGAACTGAATATGGTCAAGGGGGGCGCAGGCGATTGGAAGCGAACATGTTTAGCGAAGCAGTCTATTAAGGCCCCCCATACACACACAGTTTGGCCTTCCGATCGACCTTACAGGCAAAACTTTCATAGTTTTCCTCCTCCCTTTCCTGCCCCATACACCGGCAGGCTTCATGCCACAATCACGGTCTTCCAGCCTATAATACTGAGTCACACACGTCACGTGCTATGGTCCTGCAGGCAGAACTGACGGACTGACGGGTTTCCCACAGGCCAACAGTCCAAACGATTGGCCGGTCGGCCGCACCACACACATCAGTTTTGCCTTTCAGTCTTCAACTGTGCAGGCCGAACTGGAGGCCAAACTGTGTGTGTATGGGGGCCCTAAGACAGCTGCGCTTTTCTTCTACGTTATCAGGATATCTTGGAAAAAAGCCATACGAGAATAGCCCTTGCCTTATATTTCAATCCAGTGAAAGCATGTTCGATAAAATGTCACCCGAGCTTCTTTTCTTTTTAAATTCTGATCACTAAAAACAATAGATGGATTCAGCGTCCTGTATCAAATCGACTAAATAATATCACGGATTTTTATATGAAGGTGACAACAGGTTCAACGAATTACACGATAAAGTGACTACAGACGGGCTTTGGATCAGTAAGTGGATTTTAATTATACACTTTCGAATGACAGAATGTTTAATGAATGATGAATTCGAAAGGAATTGGAAGACAGCGGTCGTGGCCTATTTCAGATTAAGATATCTGTATTCGCCTGGACAGACTGAGGAAAGCCAGAAAATCCTAGGTACTATAGTCAGTGTCCCAGCCGAGATTCGAAGTAGGCATCTCCAAAATACAAGACAGATATATTACCGCCTGAGCCGTTTGCTTGAAACGATAGTCTGTTCATCCTGTGTACAGAACAACCGCTCCTATTACATCTATAGAGTATAGAGGTACCGTTATTAATACTGTTTGAGAAAGACGTAAATAAAGTTCAGATCAGAACTGAAATTTTGAACCACGGATATGAATTAAGGTAAGTTTGAATTCGGAAAGCAAATCAATCGTCTTCTTTATGTATTTTTTCCGTGATAGTTTCTTATTATCCACTGAAGTGTAAAATGATATTTTACTGGCAGAATTTGATGTGAAAATGATAAAATTCAGGTCATGTTTATGCGCCCTGTTCGCAGAAACTAAAAAGATTGCAGCTTCTTACGCTAGAGCACCCATCATTTTAGGTTTTTGCTGATGCAACTTTCCCCCATAAACGATCGTATTGTCATCCTCCATTAAACTTCAAGTCAGATTCTTACACAAGTTAGGGGACTAGGATGATGAAAAATTGTTGCTCGCAACAAGAAGAAAGGAAAAGAGAAAAATCCTTGAAAGTTAGAAAATGACTCTTAGTTTGGAACAGTTCCATATATTTTTGGTCTCTTTCTCTTCTCATACAATTTCTCGACGTCATCTTTCATTCGACTGTTTGCGCGCCAAGTGGCTGTAAGTTTCCTCTTCCTTTCTATGTAGTCAGAGCTCCATGAATGCTTAAAGCGAAGAGAAAGGAACAGGGGGAGGGATACATCTCCCCTCCCTTGGCACACCTACTCGGTTCCCCTCAATTCATGTCTAAAAATTCGATTTAATTTTTAAACAGAGAATAAAATATACGCTTCCACGTATGAGAACAATGCATTTATCATTGGCATCAGCTGATGATATTTTATATATTTCTTTTCAAAGACAAAAATTTAAAGAAGGCTAAGAATAATCGTATCTTTATCCCCTTGCTGCGACGAGAGATATTAGGCAATGCTTAAATCCAATCATGGTATGTCAAAAATGCTCATCAAGCAAGTTATGTCAACGATACGATACATCATGGTCCTCGCTTCGAACCCTGAGACCAACTAAACCTACGGAGAATATTTTTATATTCCTTCTCAATTTCTCCAATCCTATGTTTGAACAAGTCCTACTCATTCATTTAAATAGACTGTGGTCAATTGCTTCACACTTGTGTTGGATAGGACATTCATATCTCCTCCCTTAGTTTCGAAGCTGTAGGACTATTTTTTTTCTTGGCACTACAGCCCCGGTGGGCCTATGCCTACATCCATGAAATTCTCCGTTCACTTCGGTTATTCTAGATCTTACACATTCGGTAGGACTCCTTGGGCGGGTGATCAGCTCGTCGCAAGGCCTCTACCTGTAGACAAACACAGAAAAACGCACACAAACATCCATGCCCTGAGTGAGATTCGAACTCACGATCCCGGTTTCCAAGCGAGCGAAGACAGTACAGGCCTTAGACAGCTCAGCTACCGTGACCGGCCGTAGGACTATTACAATAATCAATAAAACACAGTGATAACGCATCTAGACTAACGCAAAATAATCGTAAATAGGTCTATATAACATGGTAATTGGTACGTTGACTACTGAATAAAATGGAGGGGTTTCGTAGTGTAAATTCGAAACGCTTATATCCCAAAAAAAAAAGTCACACTCATTACTGTTCATTTAACGTCCTTGGCTGGAAGGGAAGCTATCGTGATAAATGTGCGTCAGACTTTATATATAGTTGGAATGTGTGAGGAGACGTCCTCCAGTCCTACGTTTAACAAGTCCTTAGCATCCATTTTATTGGACTGTAGTCAATTCTTTCACACTTCAATTGGTCAGAAGATCCTTATCTCTCCCCTTCCTTTTGAAGCTGCAGCACTATTACAAGAATTGCAATGAAATAGGGTGATACCGCATTTAGATCAACCCAACAATAGTTAATCAATGATACTTTATATATAAGGGGATGGCTATATAACGCTTTGTTTTAACGCCTACTGGATACTTGTTGAGATACTGATGACCTACCGTGATGTTTTGTGTTAATCTGAAGTGAGTACTGGTCTTATTGTCACAACTTGCATACGAGACATGCAATGAAAATAGGGACATATCCTGACCTCACACACCACTTACTCAGCCAGATACAATCCTCATTAGTCCGCTACGTGTGTCGTATAAAATCCTAACTTTGCAAATGCACCCATTTTAAAATATGCAATATCCTATATTCCCAGTGTCTCCCATTTCATTTAAGATATTCTAAAGTTATTTGGGTAATTTATATTACCATATATATGATAGCATTTGAAAGAACACAACGTTAATATTGCAGTATAAGATATTGTCGGCAGGGATAAATCTATCACACGGCTGCAAACCTGAATAAAATTTTGGGGCACCAATTCGGGGGCCGTTATGTCCCAAGAAACACATCTACATTTTGATCGGTTTAACATCCTTGTATTTTCGTAGCTTCATAATTGCGAAGTGTCTGTATGGTCAGAACTGGGGCTAACTTACAGCGTTACGGCTGTGGTGAAGCAGCAGTGAACGGAGTGCAGGGTGCCTTCTGAAATTATACACTGTACACGTATATTGTATACTACGCCGCTCACGGTAGCCGAGCGGTCTAACGCATGCACTGGGCCGCGCCATAGCTCAAGCGGTTAGTCGCTGGCTTCCCACCGCGGCGGCCCGGGTTCGATCCCGGGGTCTGGTCAAGTGGGATTTCTGGTAGACAAAGTGGCGCTAGGGCAGGTT